AATTGTAAAATGTTTTTAATGTGTGATATTAATAAAATACTACTTTACTAATTTATGACACTGAATGTCTGAATCATTATACGGAAATTGTAATTTAATTATATTATATTTTTTAATTTTCGATAAAATTTTATTTAAAATGTCTTAAATGTAATAATAAAATGTTATTTATTTATTTTAGTTTATTTTTTTTTTTTTGTATTTTTTACTATTATTATGTTGTTTAAATATGTGTTTTAATGATTTTAGAACTTTGGAGAAATGATACTGAAATTTAAGCAATTTTACCAACTATTCAATACATACATATTGTAAAGGAAAATTATAGTCATTTAAAAATATAAACGATTGTTGCATTCAGTTTCCACAGTAGTTTACAAAAATTGTTTTCATTAAATAAATATATCGTAGATAATCGTGGTTTTTCCAGTTATACGTCATATTTATAAAGAAAACCATTTTTGTAAATTACTGTTGAAACTGAAAGCAAAAAATGTTTATATTTTCAAACAGGTATCAATTTCCTTTACAATATGTATTTATTGAATAGTTGGTAAAACCGCGTAAATTTGAGTATCGCTCCTCAAAAGTTCAAAAACCAATAAAACACTTAAAATGTCAACATAATACAGCAATTACGAACAAAAAAAAATAATATGTTGTTCGTACGTATAGGTATACAATGTAATAACTCTCTAAAAAAAAATACATTTTCAAACCATATAAAAATGTGATTTGTCATTTTACTTTAAAATAATCATTCAAAGAGCTATATTATAATTATATATAATAGATAATAGATATTCATTTATATAGTAATTTCATCAGAATTATATTAGAATAAAATATACATTATTATATTTATGATGTGTATTGGTTATAATCAGGGCTAGGATTTATATGCAACAGCATGATTTTTTGCGACTTCTGATTATTGATTTTGTCAGTAATGTCCACGAATCATCTCATGATAAATGGTGGTAATTTTATTTTGCATGTTTTTGCATATTTTGGATGAAATACATATTACCGCATATTATATTGAATAAAATTAATATTATTGCATATTTCGATTATAAGAATGCGGAAAATGGTAAACGGAAAAAAAGTCTCGGAAAAAAAGTCTCCAAATTAATATTTGATTTAAATTCAGTCTTTTATCATATAGGTATTTATATAGGTACATAGCCCATAGGTACCTAATACATGTTACATATTTTATTGAACATAATTAACAAACAACTAAATTAAATAGGTACCTTTCTAGGATTAAAAATTATTGTAGATAAGTATTTATATAGATAATTATGTACATTTTAAATTCATTGAAAATAAAGTCTTGAAAAAAATCTCCCGTTGCAGTATAAATAAACAAAATATAAATAACATTTTATGTCAACGTTTTGATGAAGACAAATCTGCAGATATTCCTAATTTTTTAAAGCAAATAGGTCAAAATATAAGAAAGAGATCTTTTATATCTTAATAAAGACATTTTTATATTTTTTAAATAATATTATAGGACATATTGTAAGGTACCTATTTAATTTAGTTGTTTGTTAATTATGTTCAATAAAATATGTAACATGTATTACCTATGGGCTATGTACCTATATAAATACCTATATGATAATGAATTTAAATCAAATATTAATTTGGAGACTTTTTTTCCTAATATCTGTGTTACATACTACAACATATTTTTTTAAATTTTCGAAAATGAATGTCAAACTTTTCAATCTTTTATCGCATACCTATCGTCCAATAGGATTGTATTTTTAAAAATAAAATTATGTTTGAAAAAAAACCAACTTTTATGAAATATACTATAAAACATGCATTTTCCGCGATATTAGGAAAAAAAGTTTCATTCATTTTCGAAAATTTAAAAAAATATGTTGTAGTATGTAACACACGTAGTGAATGTGAATTATACATTTTATTTTATTCTAAATTACTTTTTTTTTCTCAATTTTATTATACAAAGACAAACAGCCAATCACTGATGTTTTTCAAAAAATAAATATTTTTTTTGTAAAAATATTTTTGTATTTATTTATTTTATATTAAAAAAGTCGATTGAAGTCAATCATATTCGTATTGTAGTGTGTACGCGTACAAACATTTTTAATCGAGTAGAGTACTCGAACTCGACTTGAAAATTTTTCCAGTGTCGAGTAGCTACTCGCCTAACTCTACTAAAATGATAATAGATACAAAGTGTAACACGATGTTCTGACGTATAGAATAACTCTTTTGGTATCCAATATTTTTAAATTTTTTTTTTTGTTATAAATAATTATAATGTAGTATTGTATATAAAAAACAAATATTTTAATTTTTTAATTCTGAAAATAAAAAACTTTAAATTTGATAAAAAAATTATTTGAAAACTCCAAAATAGCTACTTATGAACCTGATTTTTAGAACAATTTTGATGGTTCAAATATTTATAAAGGTGTCGTTAATTTTTTACAATTTATTAAGTTTGGGAAATTTGAATTTTTTATCCTATATAGTAGAACATAATAATTAATATGCAACCACACATTTCCCTTATTATAATAATTGATAAAATATTCAAATTTATAAAAAAAACATAATAGATTATTATATTTAATTTATTATTATAGAATTACAAAAAAATTAGATATTTATTCTTATATAATACATGTAGCTCACGCGTCTACAATTAATTATATATATGCAAAAAAAAATGTTTAATACCTATTCAATACTTAAAAAGTTAATCCATATGTCAAAAAATCGTGTTACACACTTGCACCCGTGTATAATATACCAATATAACTTTATATTTTAATTTATGCCAAGCTACAGTCGTGAATATTAATATATGTGGTTACTTACCTCCAAACAACATGTTCAACTTCATAAAATATATTGAGAAATATATTTAATATATATTTAGAAATATATTCTATTCGTGGTTGAAAATGTCAGATAGATCGACGTCCGTCCATGCCACTCGATAACTATCAAGTGAGGAACGTTCGAAATGTAGGTATAGTTTCAAGTTGAAAATATTGGTATCATTCGATTGAAATTTTGTATATTATGGCTAAATTTAGCATTTTTCAATAAACGACACGCCTATTTTTTTTTTATCTATAATAGAATACTATTGTTACACGACCCGTATAGCCGTATTTAATTACGGCAATAATATTATATTCGTGTCGACGAATTGTTTATTTATAGATCGTGTACGGATGCGATAAGACGAACTGGTTTCGTCATTAGGTGACGTATTGCTGTTTATGCGCGAGATGTGGGTACTAGGACGGTTTTGGAATACTACCGCCACTACAGCAGCTGCTGCTAAGGACCGCTATAAATTCATCACTTTTTTTACTAAAAACATACTTTTGTAATTCCAATAGTACATCGGTCTCATTGGCCGTAGAAACATGATTTTTATACCAAATTAAACATGAGAAGTTTAACTAATAACTTTTGGAACAGATTTATTAAATTTTTTTTCAAACTGATTTTATTTGTATTTGAAATTTGTAAAAATTAAAGTTTTTTCAAAAAATTATATGAAACCGACAAATTGAGTTATCAAAAATATTTTCCATCAGTTATTTGTTAAACTTCTCATGTTTAATTCAGTACCAAAACCATGTATCTACGAATAACGAGATCCGAGTACTATAGGAACTACAAAAACATTTTTTCCTACTGTTACGGCCTCTTGTGCATAACATATTATTATTGAAAGTTTCCCCCTACCAATTTTTTTGAGTTAAGTATTTCTCGGCCGGGTTTTAACTTTGGGGGACCATTTCTTCACCAGACGTTTCGGTTTAGGCGCTTCTATAACGTACACCCGAAGTCGGGGGCTCTTGAACCCCCCCCCCCTGGTTTATTTTGGTTTATCATTGAATCCAAAGTTAATATTGTGCGTAGGTAATAGCCAATTGGTATGTTATACATTTTGTATTGATTTGAGATTAATTTGTAAAATCTCTTGTTATATCAATTTGGTCTATGGGGTTATTTTGTCGGTGGCTATTTTTTCCGGGGTTATTTTTTCGCGGTACCGACACATTGACACCGTTTCGCATTATATTAATGCCGATATTTTATTAATTTATTTTTCAATTAGTAATATTATACAGAAAGTTTGACACGTTTAAGGCATTAAATTTAAAACAAATGTTTAAAATGTGAATTTTTATTTTATTAAATCTACCTTTATTATTCTACTTAGTGTCCTAGTCCACCGAAAGAAAGTCCATTAAAAACCGTCCCGCTAACAAAAGTACGGTTTAATTATTATATCAGAGTGCGGATTTTTATGTATATATTTATTTATAAGTTATGTATATGTTTATGTAAACAATATTATACTTTGGTACGAATTGGTTGGGTTGAGCACCAAGGTAAAAAAGTAAAAACTATTTAGGGTTTGATATAACATTTCATTGTGAATTTGACCATAAAAAATAAAACAATTATTGAAAAATGTGAACAGCAAAATTTGTTTCCTGACCCCAGGTTTTTTTTTATACTACAGCTATATTGTCAATCTATTATTGTCAGTATATTGACTACCTACATGATTATCAGTTTGAAAAAAAATAAAATTAAATAAAAATAAATTTCACGACTTTTGGTGTGTAATGCCATATTTTAATTTTTATTGTACCTATAATATTGATTTAAGTTGAAGTAAATAAATATACCTTATACGACTATATATGTTCAGCCGCTTGCCCTGTAGAGGTTGACAAAGGATTGACATAAATTAGGACGGTTTTTCAATGTTAAAACTCGGTTTCCTGTTAATATACGTTAGTGCGGCTACTCGGGTATTTTTTTTTACTTAGCTTCGCTTCACTACCGTCGTGCTGGATATATAATAAATATACAGGACTTTTTTTCGCGGTACTTTTTTACCGGAATTTCTTTCGCTGGACTTTTGTTAGTACCTACATTCCCACTCGATATCTGCGTCCCGGTTTTTTTTTAAATTAATGTACAAAATTATTTTAGATGTACCAGCCAACCACTCCGACATTTTTCGAAGCTCAGGCGACAAACACTCTGCAGTCGCCTTCAACTTCGGTTATATATCAGCCACCGATGATGCCCGCCCATCCCACAATGCTTCAACAGCCCACCGCATACTCGGTGACCACCATTTACCAGGTGCCGAGTATGTACCAGCCGCCCGTCATGTACCAGCACCAGCCGCCCGTTATGTACCAGCACCAGCCGCCCGTTATGTACCAGCACCAACCGCCTGTAATGTACCAGCACCAGCCACCCGTAATGTACCAGCACCAACCGCCCGTAATGTACCAGCACCAGCCGCCCGTAATGTACCAGCACCAGCCGCCCGTAATGTACCAGCACCAGCCGCCCGTAATGTACCAGCACCAGCCCGCAACTTACGAGCAGTCCACCATGGAGTCTGCCATGAACAGCACTTCAGCTCCGAGTCCGACCGTAAAATCCCAGAGGCCGCCATCTCACAAAATTAAATTTAGTAAGTTAAATGATTTATTCAACTTTAATTAATATAATGTACCAAGATTAAAACATTTTAATTATAATTGATTACAGAATGTTTAATATGTCATAAGACTGGACACCGGGCGGCGGAGTGCCGCAGTCGAGTCCGCCAAGAGCCTTCGAGTAAGATTTATTTATTTATTTTATACATTTATTATATGATTAAGATGATGTTATACAATTATACAGTGTTGGGTATAAATATCTATGATTTGTAGCTATATGATTAAAGTAGTTGATGAGGATTGTAGGTAGTATTGTTTAAAATTCACAAATTTCATTAAATATATTTTAATCATAGAATTTTTATCTACTGCTTACAAAAATACAAAAATAATATAGGTACCTATAAATTACCATAACCTAACCAACCCTGATACTATAATATGTTGTATAATATATTCTATAATATATTCTATACTGTAGCCTGTAGGGTTAAATTAAGTTCTTATGAGGACCAGGGAAATGCTTTACATCAGCTTTCAAAAATTCAAACAAGTAGGTAATTAAGTAAATTATTTTTTTTTTAAATGATTAATAACATATTAATGTGTGGTTTTACAAGGCGTTTCCCGTGGCTTTAAAGTAGTTTTTTTAGATTTTAATTTTACATCATATCAATTTAGTCCCTTAGCATTATTTTAATAAAATAATTGAGACAATGAGACGAATAAATAAAACAACAAATTCATAATAATAATAATAATATTGTGTTTACTGTTTGGTTTTCAGAAAAATTATGTTTTTTTCATGAATAATAAATATTTTTAGTAAATAAAACTAAAATTCTTAATCTTATAAAATACCTATATCATTAATTCTAAGTTCACTTAATAAAATATTAATAATAATAAATATTATACATTATACCTAATATCCAGGTGCTAATTTTATTTTTTTTTATATTTTTTTATTCTTCAAGAAGATAATGGGCCCAACTGAACATGTTCGTGTGGGAGCCCATGAGTTCACAATTTGAAATATAAATACATTAAATAGTTCTTATAATTTAAATATTTACAATTTGTAATATGCATTTCTCACATAGGTACTTAACTATAATATTAATAATATAAGTAATAATGTAATATATATTTTCTTCTCTTTGTTTATATAATATAGTATTATGTAAAAAATTGTGTAGTTAAATAATACAATATAATATGGTAATATAAAACTAAAATTAACAATAATTACTAAAGTCGTACAACTAATATGATAAATAATGCAGTAATCCTATATACGTTTGTTATGAGTCTGTCTATATTTTGTTCTGGTAATAGCCAAAGTATAATTTTTTTTTAAGAATCTTAAAAGAGTTGCTGTGTTTAATTTCTATTGGTAGTATATTGAAAATTTTTGACCAATATATTGGTATGTGGATTGTGTTAATTTTTTGTGCATAGTTGATACTTTGATATTAGATATTCGCCTAGTATTGTGTCTGTGTTCAGTTTTAAAAGTAAAGTAATTTTCAATTATGTAAAGTACCGACGCTTTATAAAATAATTTTTTTATTGGTATAGTACATTCATGTCATTGTATAAATATTTTGTGTGGTATCTTGAGTCTTTTTTTAGGATAATTTTTGGCATTTTGTTTTGGATTTTTTTTTTAATGGATCTAGTTGCATCATACGTACCTCCCCATATAGAAATACCATAATTAATTATGGATTCTATTAATGCTTGATACACTACTCTAATTAAATTGAATGATTTTGATTTTATTAATTCGAATAGGCATATTATTAAACATAAGTAGGTACTTAGCAGACATATATCTTTATATTTTTATACTTGTTATGTGTGAATCTAAACAATAATATAGGTATTATTATTATGTTAAAATACTAAAAAGGTACTTTAAATTCATTGATTAATCTATGTTTCAGATAGGCAAAGGGCTCCACTCTTAGTTAGGCCACCAAGACGTGCTGGAAGAGGAGGAAGAAGGTTCATGACTCCAGTATGTAAGTTTCAAACACATTTTAATACACAAATACACAATACTCTGTAGAACACATACAATTATTAAATATTTATCTAGATAAAATAATAAATTTTTTTTTGATCTCTTACATGATGAGCGAACAGATAAATTTAAATTTAATTATTTAGATAATAAATAAATCATCTGAGGATTTTGAATTTGTAAACAGAAATTAATTGTACTTTGTTTTGTAGATGAACCAGACACCCAAAGGGAACCATCCATGAATAATTCAAAAGAGTAATTAATTTATTTTAAAATAAACATTTTTTAACAAATACTTGACTTTTTATTTATATGTTTCAAAGAAAATAGGAACAATATTTTAGTTTGGTATCTTAGTTGCAAGTGTATCTACACTTATACATTCATTATTAATTTTGATGTAAAAAGTAAATGATTTAACTCTCCGGTTGGGTACAATTTTGTTTTTTTTTAATGTAACAAAAATAAATAATTAATATACATGGGTAAATGAAATAAATATAATAATATAATATGTTTACAATAAATTATAAAATAATCAAACTATCAAATAATAGTTAGCTCCATAATAGTAATATACAATATAACTGTTACTGAATTCCATTTCCTAAAGTCCTAATGATGGTAAAAGTAGGATTGGATAGATCTCAGTGGCGTGTCCAGAACTTTTTTTGTGGATGGGCCTCAAAAATTAAGTTCAGAATGGTTTTATCCCCTCATCATACTATAATTTGATCTATTTATAAGTTTTAGTATTTTTATTCTAAATGACTAATTTTAATATTTTTATTACCAATGGTACGTATCTTACCTTTTATTACCAATGGTACGTATCTTACCTTTTATTAAAACATAAACTTTAAATATTCAAATCTTTTGAAAAACACAAATAAAAATTTATACTTTTAGTATTAATAATACATATCAAAACATACATATTCTACAAATTAAAAATCAAATAAATATTTTTAATGTATGGTATCGTTGACTTTAAAAATACTATAAAATTGATAATATGAATACGTATACTATACTTATATATGTCACTCACTCACTCATAGTGCAATACATTTTTATTAAATACCTGATCAAAACAATTTTTTTTTCTAACTATTTATAAATAATATTTTCATTTTTCATTGAGCATCGGACTTACACTAGTCTAGTACTTAAATAAAAATGTGGGTGGGCACATGCCTACCGGGCCCATCCCCTAAACACGCCACTGATAGATCTGTTATGTATCAACCACTAAATTATGATATAAACAAACAATTAAAATATTAACTTTAACTATGTAAAATAAAATAAAATTAATAATTACACCAATACCTACTTCATAAGATATAAATTAATTAGAAATAATATTTTGGTTTTGTTCTTTTTCTTCACGAAACTTGGCATTAGACATAAGTCATGTAAAATTTCATATAATATCTTGATCAATACCATTTTTGTGATTTATTCAGTTCTTATGGTTTCTGTAACACACATGTAAAATGTAAATACTTATTAATTATGTATTATATTAAGTTAATACAGCAAAGGTACAGTAGGGGAGTTAGAGTACAAGTGTAACATTTTCAATAACGTATTTATTTCTAAGAAAATACAAACTTTTAAGCTCTGATTTTGTACCCATTTTAAATAACTTATAATTAGGGCGCGGATTTCAATGCAAAATGCATTTTTTTTTTTTTGATCTTAGACAATGAGTTCCAACTTCCAAGTACATAATTCGTTTCATGTAACTAGTGCTTCAAAGCTAAAAATTTTATTTTGCATTTTTTTGCATATTTTGATGTTTTTTTGATTTTTAGAGCATTTTTAGAATTATTGGGTAATTTTTGTTAGTTTTAATGCATATTTGTTCAATATTTCACCCATTATCAGATAAATAAAAAATATCATTAATGATTTCGTGTTACATCACGGTCGTAGTTTGTATGTTTTTATTTCATGTTCGTAATTTTAATAGGGATAAATATTGTGTTAAATAATGCTCCCCCCCCCAAAAAAAAATCATCAATAAATTAATATGGTATTTTTAAGGTCATTTTTGGAGGTAAAATTCATTTTTTAAGGGGATTAATTCAATTTTTCACATTTTTAAAGCATTTTTTTACTTCATTAATTAAATTTTTTAGGTCATAATTGCATTTTTCCTAAGGCATTTTTAGGTATTTTTTAGGGCATTAAAATCCGCACCCTACTTATAATCTTTATAAATATGTGAAAAAAAAATGTTACAAACATACCCCATCTTTATTTTATCAATATTTAAACTTCAATTGTTAATGCTAAGAAAAAATTGTACCTATATATTTCTGTTGATAATTTTTGAATTGCTATTTTTTGTAAATGAATTGTTTTCGGTTTTTTTTAGGTCGCTTAACCAAGGCACTTTGGAAGATATTCCAATTGAACTAATGAATATGCCTGAAGAGTATTCTCTAGGACATTGTGTGGCAAAAGATATGCGTATGAGTGCTGGTATCGCCGTATATTTCAAGTTAGTGAATAACAGTTTTATTGATAAAATATTGTTAATGTTTTAATTTATGTATTCAAATATGATTTAGGAGAAAATTTGGAAGAGTTGGCGAACTAATGGACCAAAGACCAAATGTTGGTTCAGTAGCGCATTTGCAAGAAAACGATAGATTTATTTATTATTTAATTACCAAGGAGCTTAGCAACCAAAAACCAACGTACAATTGTATAACTGCAGCCATTACAAAACTACGTGATCTTATTGTAGAACATGGTGTTAAAAAACTAGCCATCCCACGTATTGGTTGTGGTCTAGACAAATTAGACTGGTCCATAGTAAGAGGCATTATTGAAATTGCATTTCAAAATGTAGGATGTAAAATCAAAATTTGTCATTTTATACATGTAATTTTACTTATTCAGCCTTAATAACAAGCAATTCTATGAAATAAGTTTACTTATGTTTTTATTTTTTACAGAATTTGTCAAAAGAGTCAGA